AGCTCTGTGAGGCTGCACTTAGACACAGCTGTGCTTTGAGTTAACATCAGCATACAAACATCCACAGACAATGTTAACATGTTGATGTTACCCAGGTTCACCCTCTTATTTAGCATGTTAGCATGGTAACATCTGCTAATTTGCACTAAACTCAAAGTACAGCTGATGGAAATGTCATTAGTTTTAGAGGTATTTGGTCATTAAACAACAGAGTGCTGAACAAACTGTTATTCTGACCCGATGAAAGTTATCACAAATCACACTGAGGGGAACACATTTCATGGCAATCCATCCAATAGTTGAATGATATTTCATTCTGGGCCAAAGTGATGGACTGACATTGCCATCTCCAGAGCTACACTGCTAGCATGGCCTAAAATGTGTCTATAAACCTAAAGCATATGAATACAGTGCAACAATTTTGATGCTAATTGAGCTTCCATTGGGATCCACTAGCATTTTGCTAACAAGAATATTCCAGTATATAATATAGCAGATTTTGAGGGTTCAGGCTCCACTTCCTGTTACACACAACCCAGTCGAGCCAACAGATAAACCAAGAGATTGAAATGTAAGATTTTGTCCCCCTCTTCGCTTTTAAATGCCATCTTTGCCAGTGGGAGTGCAAAACAAAAAGTGAGCCAAAACCCTGGAAACCATGCTGGAACGTTCCTTTAAAGTCCATAAACAGAGTATAACAGTATGGGTGAGAACAAGTGAGGGCTACCTCTTTAACTCACTAATCTTTCAGAGTTTGACTACAGTGTATAGAGCTCATCTTCAGTAATAGAAATCCTGTTTGCATGAGAGCTAATTTAGCCACCAGTGTAGAAACTACCGCTGTGAAGATCCATCCTCACTCCACACTGTTGCTTTTAGGCAGTAAAAAATCCTCTCCAGAAGCGATATGCCGCTGAACATGCAGATATGCTGATTTAGTGTCCTAGTTAGTGAGCTGGCCTGAGAGCTATGGCTAAAGACGGCACGTGTATACGATATAAACAACCGAGGTAATGCGGTAACGCTCCTTAATTTCCGAGCTCTTGGCGGTTCTTGCGGAGGCTGAGCAGACCTAAATAACTTGTGATGAGGGTTAAATTTATACTGAGAGGCTGACGGGCGCAGCCTTCAGCACCAGCGGGGGCTCCACGGCCCGACCCTGTGTCCGTAAACGTCTGTTTTCTCCCCACAACAGCGTCTCCCTGGTTCGGCGTGTCAGGCCTTCCCTGCCTTCATGTATGTGGGGATGGTGCCTCGCTGAGTCAGACCCTCAAAGCGTTTGTATGTGTAGTTGAGGAACACCCAGTCCTTCGATTTAAAGTCCGGCTCCGTTGCGCTGGCTGTTAATAAACAGAAAACAAAAGGAGGTGTTAATTTACGTGAGGGCGCTACGGATCATACTATGTAAATGAGATGCCATGATAATATTAAAGAGAGTAATCAGCAAGGAGCAGTCAGTTATTGTCAATAATGTTCCCAAGAAGGTGTTTTCCAGCAGAACATTTCATAAGGCGAACCTGGCTGAAGGATGTCTGATTCAGGGAAGTCGTCAAAGTTTGAGGTGTCGTCGATGCTCTTGATTTCAATGGAGATGGCTGCTGGCCGTTCCCTGTGGGGGCAAGACAGAGAGGATCATGGACGGTTGAGGAGGAAGGGAAGAAGCTTTGCTTTGTGCTTAAGCAGTTACATTTAAAGCAAGAAAAGCCCTTTTCAGACAAAATACGCAACATCACTGCCTTCATCTATATGTCAAATTAAAAGCTTTTTGTTATTCAGACATAAATGTCATATGGTTTTATTCAGACATTTACAGAAGGAGCCAAGTGCTGGATTTTCAGGGAGTGTTCAGTTGCTCTTTAACCACTTTTCCACCCCAAAGGAGAAAAATCTTCCTAATAATGTAAAATCTGCTAATTTACAGTGTTTCATAACTTTTAAATAGATTTTATTTTCTCTCAGCAAAAGGCGATTCTACTTGTATGCATTACAGTGATGTTTATCAGGCTTTATTCTCTACATACCCGTTTTACCTTGTGTTGTTTTGGCCTTGACATTAATCTGACCGCACATGAGTCACGTTGAAGTGTTCCCGAAATGTTATAGGTCTGACCTATTTAGACTGTCATCTGGACTTTTACATAGAAGTGACTCATTCAGATGAGACCAACATGTTAAATTGCCACCACATTTCTGTAACATGGTGTCTGTCCGAAAGTGGCTTTATACTGAGTGTGAATTTTGTCAATCTTTTTATTTATTTATTTATTTAAGGAATCAATTTAAGGAATACATCCATTGAACATGTTCTGATTTTCATCTTTATTTTGAAGCAACACGCTTCAACTACTGGCCAGGGCCCAGTGTTCTTTTTAAAACCATTATAAAACAATGAGTGCTGTACAGACAATAAAACGTCACCAGCTATTTTATGGCCACATTGCGTCCCTTCCGATAAAGCATTGCCTTTGGGTTTTATTCCTCAGCCTCACTGTAATGAAAATGGGCCCAAATATCCTTGTTTCCATTGTTCACCTGCTTTCTGTAAAATAGTTGGTGTAAGCTGCCGGTGTAATCGTGATCAGAGTTAGTTTGGTATTTATCATTAGTTTTTATTCTTATTTGGTCTTTAATTTTTGTTTCCAATTCAGTTTAGTTTGACTTAGTTTTCCAGAGTGGGTTTAACTGTTTCAGTTTAGTTTTTATTCTTTAAAAATGTTTTTTATTAGTATCAGCATCAGTTCTAAATGTATAAATAACATTTTTATCAAAACTATTGCATGCTGATACAGTCACAGTTAGCGTTTAATGTTGTCAGTCCTGTTATTGTCTCATTTTATTCATGGCAAAAAGTTTTTTGTTTTATTTAATTAACCTTTATTTAACCAGATAAGTCAATTGAGAACCAATTCTCATTAACCTGGCCAAAAGGCAGCGACAGGCCTTCAAGTCAATACAACAATTAAACATAGATACAAAAAGGTTACTGATGAACATCATTAATGATATTAACACTATTCATGCTTCATGTACCTGATGTGCTCCCAGTCCACTGACTCAAAAAACTGATGACTCTTGATCTCCTCCACGCTCACAGCTCCAATCCTGTTCTCAGCATCAGTGCAATACCTGAAAAACACAAACAAACAGCAGTCTGATTACAGTCTAATCTGTCCAATAAACCTTTATATACACATCATTCAGAAATACAATCACTATGTACACCAACATGTTTGCCCACGTGGCCTTCATGTGAGTTTATAAAAGAGAAAACTGGAATAAAAATGGTTCTTTTTTTCCAGACCTTAGTATCAAGTCTTTGGCCCTCTCTGAGATGGGGACTTCAGGTGGGAAGACAAGGGTTTCCTTCCAGTTCATCACTTTCCTGTATGTCTCCTGCGGCGTCTCAGAGCAGAACGGAGGATAACCTGAACACAAACAACAAGCATTGTAAAGAACGCTGGCGGTACAGCAACACTGCATGCAAAAGTCCACTGACTTATAACTTACTTGTCGTAATTTCACACATTATTTCCTTCGTGACATCTGCAGTGTTTTGACTATGAATGTGTTATCCTTTAACACAAACAATTCTGCCATAAAATAATCTCTCTTTACACTGACATCTGCACACTTACCGATGAGCATTTCGTACATGATGACACCCAGAGACCACCAGTCACACAGCTTGTTGTATCCCGTCTGCATGAAGACTTCAGGAGCAATGTAGTCTGGCGTTCCCACAGTAGAATAGGCCTAAGAGTCACACAGAAACAGAGAACCTGAGGGCTCTGGGTAGGAGTATATACACATTAAACACTGACAGGTCAATGTTCAATTAATGTTGACATGAAGTTACATTAGCCAGGATTTAGAGGCTGCTGTGTCCATTTTTTGCAGAGACCAGGAAGCTACTTTTTTTCTTTTCTTCTCCTGCATGTTGCAGCAGGTCTGTGCATTATTCTTTCCTTCCAACTCTCTGGCTTCTTATGCACTTCTTTCATTCATAAAAAGCCAAAGCCTTACCAGCTGCCTCCGGTTCTTCTTCCAGGTTTCTGCTTTCCTCTTGGAGTTCATATTTTGAAAGGCTGCCAGACACAGGAGAGGGCAGGAGAGTAAGGAGTGATTACTGAAATATTTACAGTGTTTTTGCAAAAGACCAAAGCAGCGTCTCTCTGAACATTTATTATAGAGTTCGGATCTGGGTTTGGATCTGGTTCCAGTGATGTTCGGTTTTTCATGTCAATACTAGATTTTTAAACTCACAGAAATCACTGGGCGGGTTGTGCGTCAGGTTCCTGTAAAATTCTGTGCGATGAGCCTTCTTCAGTCCCGTACACAGGCCGAAATCTGACAGTTTCACGTGTCCCTGTTAGCACAAACACATTTCATGTCATCTGAAGAAAGCTGCCACGCACACACACACACACAGCGCACTGTATGCAGAAAACGTCTGGGTGTCTGTCAGCGAGTCTCACCCTGGAGTCCAGAAGCAAGTTGTCTGGTTTGATGTCTCTGTGGATGAAGCCCAGCTGGTGGATGGAGTCGATGGCCAGAACCGTCTCTGCGATGTAGAACTGGGTGGCCTCTTCTGACAGGGTGTCCTTCTTCATCAGCAGGGTCATCATGTCGCCTGGCAACAAGGTCAGAACTTTTAAAAATGATAATACACAACATTTTTGTGCTGATTTATTTCGCAGTATAGCGATTCATGCTGTATCCAGTTAAGTCTGTGATGACATCAAACGCAAACAAAGTTATCAGTGCAAACCTCCAGGCAGGAACTCCATGATGAGGTAGAGGTTCCTCTTGTCCTGGAAGCTGTAGAACATCTTTACCACCCAGGCGCCGTCCGCCTCCACCAGAATATCCCTCTCTGCCCGGATGTGGGCAACCTGCAGGGAGACGGTAAACAGCCTAAGACACTTGCAGAACGAGAGAGTGACCGCAGCAGCTCTAACAGTATGCCTCGACGTCCTTGAGAGACTGTGGTGCTGACCAATACTTTACCTGTTCTTTCTCCAGCATGTCTGCTTTTCTCAAAATCTTCATGGCGTAAATGTGACCTGTGTCTTTTTTCTGCACCAAACGGACCTGAAGGAGACGACATCACAGTTAAATTCATGAGGAATGGTATTAAACATTTCTAGCAATGAAATGTTATTTTAAAATTTACAAGGGCTTTTGTTTTGTACCTCTCCGAAAGCACCTCGTCCAATAACTTTGAGGGACTCAAAGTCGTCCAAGCCGAGCCGCGTTCTCTTCAGTCGCAAAAACTCGGTCTCCTTTCGGGCGTGTTGCGAGCGGCGCATTACTTTCTGCAAAACATGGACAAACAGATAGTGAGCAATCAGAGTAAGTTGAAGAGAAAGATTTCAAAAGGAAAAAAAAAACAACACCTTTTTCTAAAGAATGTCGGTCTGTAAGCGAGATGACAAAGCGTACTGTACCTCCTCATCTGGCAAACCCTCTTCATCCATGGCCTTCTCCAGCTTCTTCTGCCTATGAATTAAAAAAAGAAGCATACAATGAAAATAGTGCTTTCATACAAATCTGAAAAGGGCTGAAAAAATACAGCAGAGTGTACGGTGAACGAGTGAAAAACGTACAGGGTCAGATTAATGTCCTAAAACCGGTCAGATCTTCACAATGAATCTCCTGTTGGTTTATGCAGCGGTGTAAACAGTGAGTCAGCTGCCTTTTACAAGCGGAACTAAACCGTGTTACCTGGACTAGAGATCAGCTCACATGTGGTAATGCGAGAACACGACAGGTAGATTATGAGATGCCCTTTGTTGTGCCCACACCTGCGATGAAACACCTCTGCACTGTTTCCTTTTCCAGCAGCGGATGGACTGACACTTGATGCTTAAAATAACAGATACATTTACATGCAGAGAGGTAACTGAACTATAGTGAAGGTGTTGGACAACTAGTACTGCATGGGGTTATTAATACAGGCACAATGTCCAGAAAATAAAGGTAAAGTAAAATAAACTGTTTATTGTAGCCTTTGTTAAACAGACGTACAATTGTCTGGAGTGATTCTGATAAATAATGTAACTGGACGGTGTGTTTCCATATATTTGTATGGCAAAAATGCAGGTGGTCTAATATCAACAGGTACTGTCGGCTATATTAACACTCGGTTTTACCTCATCTCGCGCTCCTCGTGCTGCGTGAGCAGAGTGCTGTAGAAGTTTTCCAGTGTCAGCTTGGCCACAGTCACCCTCTCTCGGGTGTGGTTGCTCATGGGAAGGGCAGCTGCAGTCCCTCCCGTCATGGCCATACTATCCTGTACGACAACAAACAAAAACCATCAGGTTGTGCACAGTTTCTACCTGTGTGGTAAACGTCTGTTGGTGAATCAGTTTTCTCCACTTTAACCTGGCAGCGAGAAGAAACAACGCTTTCATCCTCTTACTACTAACTAATTCAAATTCATTACCGATAAAACACACCCTCACTCAATTCAACACACTTACTTGGTCTGATATGACAAGTAGCTTATGGTGGCTGATTGGTGGGAGTATAAATCAGCACTAGCATTAGCATGTTCCCAGTACCCTTGCATGTTAGCCTTTACTTCACAAGCTACGGTTCACTAGCCCTCCGAGTAGCCCCTACGTCACCAAGCCTCTAACAATGTCTACTTGCTGATAGAAATCACTTCAACACTTTCTCGTCTGACTGGTCCTTTATCCTGTAATCGCCACTCATTGTAACGGTGTCTCCTGCTCGCTTGCTTTAAATGTGTAGGAGGTTCACACAATGCCCTCTGTTCAGCTCCCAACAGTCCTGCAATGACAGGAACCCTCACAGGCTTCCCACCCACCCACAGACAGCTACAGGCTACAGCTAGCCCCATAGCATCTGTGTGACTGCCCTCTACAGTATCTACAGTGTGTCAGTCAGCACAGGAATGAACAACGTAACCTTGTAACTGAGGTTAAATGAGTGTGTCCAACAGTGTGTAATGTCCTATTAAAGGAGCACTCCAATGTTTTGCATTATGTATAAAGCAACAGACTTTGATAGAAGTCGAAGCAGTGTGTGTCAAGCTCCAAAAATGCTGAATCTTACACATCCCATAATGCAATTTGACAGTCTTTCATTTGACGCTCCATTCCTGGCAGACAACCATGTCTTTCAAACTCTGTTGACATTGTCAGACTTTAGAAAGTGCTTTATTACAACTGTTTTTACAGGCTGAGTAATACTACTACACTGAATTAAATGATCGTAATGTGCAAAATCTGTTGAGTGCCCCTTTAAATATACATTTTGAGAGCTGCACTGGGTACAATTTTAATGTAAAAACATCAGTGCTGAATTCAAAATGACTCCTAGAAGGCAGTGAGCAGTGCTCTCTGTAAAGATTGGTTAAAGCGCCTCAGCCACACACACACACACACGCTGGGTTAAGTGATATAAGTGATATGGACGACATGCTGCATATTTCTGGGTAATGAAGGCTTTAAAACTTTCATATTCAAAACAGTATTTGCATTCTTTTCCCCCTTCAGTGCGCGAGGTAATCAAATGCAACCCGACGGTGTAACCTTTTCCAGTCGGACTGAGGGGCCACGCTGGGTACTGGTAAATGATCAGGAGCTATCCATTTTACATTTCAATGAGAGCCGCTCTGGAACAGATCCCCTGACCTCAGACTACCAGGAGTCAGATCCCCGCTACAGAAATATTCTTGTGACCCTAAAGACAGCGGCAGGGAATCATGTGCTGGGTGGCTCACGGTCTGCAGGGTTTCATTCCAGGACCTAATCAGTGAAACCGCCACAGATAGTTCTCAGCACGCATTCCTTTGTGTTTTTACACCATCCCCGATAATGTCAGGCACATGCTGACATCTTGGATTTGATGTGTAGCCCTGGTGTGGGTGGAATGAAAACCACAGAACACACACACACACACACACACACAACACACACAACACACACACCACACAACAACACACACACACACACACACACACACACACACACAGGTGAAGTGGAGGTTGTTTGAATAAAAACCAAACGTCAATGATGTAAAAGACGGCAAGGACAAAGTCAGTGCTACTAAGGAGAGTTCAATTCTCTTCTTCTTAAATGAACAGAATATTATTTGGAACATATTATGCAACAGAGTGAAAGAGGAAGAGGGTGGATGTGTACATCATCAAATCACTTCAGCAGTATGTACGGTATGAATGGGCTTGATTAGCTCACACAGAGATAAAACAGCCCTGCAGTCCTAAGATAGGAGCCATGTTTCGTCTAGTCACAGGTCCCTTTTTCCCGTCCCGGCCCCAACAATCCCACAACAACAAGACGCTTCCTGACTTCTGAGAAAAATCACTGAATCACTGCTGAAAACTGCTCCGTTAGGGAGGCTTCTATTGGCTGGAAAACAAGGACACTGGCAAAAAAGGGTGTAGAGTTACTGAGGTCTGTGCAGATTTACTGGAGCACAACACTTCTAAGAAAGCCCAACGTCATCACCAATAAAATGACAATCTTTGAACAAACACAAAGCAGCACCGGAAGACCCGACACAGCTCCTGTGGTCTCACGTATCCCATGTAGGCCCTCTGTGATGGCGGGGGTCCTCTGTACCTACTGTAGGCACCACAACAGATCGACAAAGACACACAATTCATTGGAGGACTGGTGTTCTTTTTGATCAAATGTAGGTCCCTCAGTCGGGGTTGCTGGGTGGACAATGTGTGAGCACGCTGGGTAGTGCAGCAATGAGCTGAAGTAGCTGTATGAACGCAGCAGATCAGCAATGATCCATCACAATGCTTTGGATTGATGAAATCATTTTTTATTTTGGCTTGATTTATTACATTATCAAGAGTCTCTAAATTTCGAGGTTTTCCAGGACACGTGGAAACTCTGGTGTTACCATGGTAATCAACATCCAAATAAGTATTTGGATGCTTTGGGGTTTTTATTAAAGAGGGGTCGAAAACTGATCCCGCAGGTCCAGGTATACACAGAAACACAGAGAGAGAGAGAGAGAGAGAGAAGAGAGAAGAGAGAGAGGAGACGAGAGAGAAACGAGAGAGAGAGAGAGAGGAGGATGTTATCTGGTATTACGTTAGAAGACGAGGACAAACACTATCTTGCTCTCCATCCCTGTCATCAACCCCTTTATCAACAACCTAATTATTAAAGCTCTACATTTGTATTTTCATTTTATATTGTCTAAGTCAAATTTTGAAAATGTTTAAACCATTTTTATTTT